TCAGTAATGGCTGACGGCAAAAGAAAAGTAAGATAGAAACGCAAGAGTAGGAGGAGGAGAAGAAGGAAGAGAAAGAAAGAAATGGGAAAAAAGAGCATTAAGAAGAAGAAGAAGAAGAAGAAGAAGAAGAAGAAGAAGAACAACAACAACAACAACAACAACAACAACAACGAGGGAAATATTAAGTACTATAAAAAAGAAAAGGTGTGAGATGGAAAAGAAAAAGGTGGAGGAGATTAATTTGTCCAAAAAAGAAGAAAGATGAGGGATATCAGAAAAATGAAGGAGTAGAAGAAGATTATGTGTAGGAGGATCAGTAAAAGAATATAAAAAAATGACGAAATAAAATAGATGAAGAAAATATTGATTAATAATTTTTTTTTTACAAAGGGGAGAATATAAGCTAAAGAAGAAATTAGAAAGAAAAAAAACAAAAACAAGAAAAGAAAGAGAATCAAACACAAATGAGAAATACGAGTAAACAAAAAATGAGACAAAAAGAAGAAATTCTATAAAAAATTATGATCTTAATAAAAAAATGAAGAAAAAAAGAAAGAAAATGAAATAAAGGGTTAGAAATTTTAAGAGATAAATAGATAAATAGACAGAGAGGCAGACAGACAGACAGATCGATCGATCGATCGATCGATCGATCGGTCGATCGATCGATAGATAGATAGATAGATAGATAGGTAGAAATATAGATAATGAACAGAGAGATTGATAGAAAATGAATAGACAGAGGTAGATAGAGCGTTCAATCGATCGATAGATAGATAAATAATGAACAGACCGTAATAGATAGATGTTTTCTTTTCGTCTTTGATAAAATTGTCCGGTATTCACTACTTTAAAGAAGATATAAACATTACATACTAGCCCAACATATTTTTCTTTGTTTTTGGGAACATTTTTCACAGTAGAGCATTGGCAACTAATAGTTTATTTTCTCTGGATAAAATAGTCAGGTAGACTAGGCACTATAGTTTCTAAAGTTGTTGCTTTGTATATATTCTGTGGCCAAAGCTAAGGAGCCAAACACGTACGTAAGTCACGTGACGAAGTGACATGTACTACTGTCATTCAACCTGTATCACGTGTCTTTTCCCATGTCATCAACAGCACTAATCTTTCCCAAGCCACGTTGTTATACATATTATAGTATAGAAGTTTTTACACAATGAAGATGTGGCTTTTGTCGAACTACGTATTCTAGACAATCATCTAATGTAGTTTTTATGAAACAGATGTATGTATGTAGCTTTTAGGATTCATGGAGGAAAGTATTTATATGTAAGGCATCCTGGAAAATGAGAGAGAGAGAAGAGTGAGAGGGAAAGAGAGAAAAGACATAAAGGAAACCGTGAGTGAGAGGAAAGCAGTTTTCAAAAAATTCTTTGTATTAAGGGTAACCATATTAATAAGGGACCAATTTTGTTTCAGTAGCATCCATTTTAGGTTTCATAAAAAGAGAATGCCATTTTGTTCAGCTAAGAATTTTATGATATCAATATAACATTTATTAAACAAGACCAAAAGAATCAAGCAAGTACAAATATAAGCACACACTTTAGTGAATTAGCGTGTAGACATTTATTTAAACTTGTTAATACATTACGAATTATGAATTCTACAACATAATACCATTAAACTTGTATTAATAAAATCCTTGTAAATAGGAAAATGATTAATGTTCTCGTGGTTAATTTCACAATTACTGTTACGGTATGATTAGATTTCTACTGAAGGTTGGTAGCCTTGACCAAATCGGTAAAAGCCTTGTTGCCTATGTCAAGAATGGTGCAAGTTCAAATAATGTAAGAATCTACATTTTTTTTTTATTTCCACTCAGTATTACTTAACATTCATATAACGTAAAGTGATTAATACTTTGCGAAAAAATGAGAATAATAAGATGAAAGAGTAACTAGTTAAAATTAATAACGACAGATAAACTGGTTCTGTGTACATTTCACGGGTGCCAACATTTTTCTTTATCTCATATTTTTCTCTTATCCTTTATCTGTATCTCTTCTCACTCTCTTCAAATCCTGGTTCTCTGTCTATGTTTTTTTTTTTTTATCTAAATGTTGCATAACCTTGGGTGGGTGGGTGCGTGGCCAATTGCTTAGGATGTTAACGTTCTGGCTATGAGACCGTGGTCAATTTTTAGGAGGTTTTTTCTTGATAATATTAGTCTGTCGAGAAGTGTTAAAAATCCTCGAAACCATATCGTATGTTGAGCCAAGCCGTTTGAGTGAAACTGTTCGAAAGCCGTCGGTGGTTGTGCTTAGTCACAAGTCATTATGAACTTATGGTACGAGCATACCAAACTTGTTAACTTACTGGTCACGCTTTATTATGCACTCTCTCACAGAAGAAGTAAAATCAGCATAGTTGTAGTATTAGGTATAGGTTGGCTCTTTAGATGTTAAATAAATAAAAAGATACCTGAGCCGGCGATAGCAACAGTGATTAACTACCCCCCCCTTACAAGGTGAGCATACTCGGAAATTACAGCCATTACGTATTACTTAATTATGGACTAGTTTCATATGAGAAAATGTAAATCGGACAGTACCTCAATTTCAACTCCCACCATCCATACAGCGTAAAGAAAGGGATCGACCGCTGCTTACAACACCAAGCAAAAGTCATAATTGGCGACTCAGAGACATTAGATAAATAATTGGTCAGTATAAGTAGTACCCTACAACGTAACAACTACCCTGGGTACATGGCAGCAGTCCCAAAAACTGGGATAGGCGGGTACAAGAGGAGGACAAGAGTCTGCCTGCCTTATGTGAGAACTTATCAGAGAAAATACAAAGGATCTGCGGTCCATATAACATCAGGACAACCTTCAAAAGCTTGACGACACTTCTCAGATATCTCTCCTGACTAAAGACAGTATGTACGCTATCCCGTGCGGAAAGAAATATAAATGGGAGACAGGCCGCCCCCTTAAGGTAAGGCTTCAAGAACACCAGAAAGTTGAAAAACAAATATGAAAACAAATGTGGTTAACAAATATTGTTTAACACATGTTTCTCTGTTTTTTTTTATATTTCAAGATTGACTTGCTTCATATTTAAATCAATTCACACGAATAATTAAATATTGCTGGCTTTTTGAACAAATATTTACTAATAATATTTTAAATTATATAAATTATATTTATACTTGTACTTTGATGAAGAATTTGCTTTAATCCCCCCATTACGTTCTCGTCTACTTCTGTAGATGAGAACGTAAAGATCGCCATGGAGACTAATGAACTTTGGAATATTGAGGCTAAAATCTCTTGTTTATGAAGGATTTATAAGAGATTTAGTTTGAGTTTTCTGACTCCTTGTTTCATTTTCTTGCATAATGTAGTTTGTTTTGTGAGCTAAGATTTTTTTCAATTTTTAATTTTTTAAAAATATTTAGCTTCATCATATGGTGATGTTTTATTGCCTTTCTTCTTTTATAATCTTCAACCACTTCTTTATTTTCTGCTTAATTAGCTTCATATAATTTTCTTGTACTGTACGAAAAAGTTATTAAGCTTTTGGGAATAATTACAGCATGCAAAAGATATATATATATATATATATATATATATATATATATATATATATATATATATATATATATATATATACAATGACATTTACAACTCTCGAACGTTTGGTTCAATGCTCAAGGTATAAGATTTCTAAATCTTTTAATTCCTTGTTGGTAGGGATGGTGATAGTTGTCGCCACACCTTCGTAAATAAGTGGGAGAATTATTTCTGGGATTAAAAAAAGGAGAGAAAAAGAAAACAAATATATTTTTCAAGTAAATGTAAAAATCCAGTATACTATTTTTTTTTTAGTTTTCGATAAAGATTGATTCTGAAAATATTAACTTTATTTGCTATTCTATGATCAGATAAAGTAGGCACTGAAGAATGGTTTACTATCTCACCTTCTCTTTTCTGTGTAAATCATCAGTGAAAAGATATTGAGCACTGAACAAAGGGAAAGTGCCTTTACTAAGATAATTAGTAAAAAGTAAACGAAATCATTTTCGGACAAAATATTTCAACTATTTTATACTTTGTGAAAAATAACTATATTATAAATAAAACTATATTATAAATAAAACTATATTATAAATAGGTGACATCGTTCTTCTTTTGTGTTCTTTCAGGGCGCAGGCTACCAAAACTCTACGCAACCTCCTACCTATTGCTGCATATAAAAGCTTTTGAAATTTTACCATCCTTCTTCGTTTCCACTGACGTAATTAAAACAGACTCAAAGAATTTTGTTGAATAAATAATGAAAATGAAGTAATTTAGACAATAGAATTGCTTAAATTAACTGCTGAAGATAGTGTTTGAGCAGTGAGGAGAGCTGCTCTTATTTGATTTACCGTAGCAAAAATTACTACTTGGCCTCATTGAATAATAATAATGTGTGCGCGTGTGTGTGTGTGTGTGTGGGGGGTAACAGATACATTTAAAAAATAATTTAGTTTATTTCTGAAGTCCTAAATACTTAATTAAAATCAAACAAGTATCTGATTTTTGTAAGAATTTCCAAATCAATGTCTTTTTCACCGCAAAACTTTTCAGTATTAATTTATGGTCCCACTTTGACATAAGAAAAATAAGATTTTGAAACAAACAAAGTTTCGAAAAAGTTCTAAAATGGATTAAAAAATAATTTTTACATAAAAATCATTTGATCTTTCCTCTTAATAATAATAATAATAATAATAATAATAGGAATGACAGTGAGTTGGAAGATCTCCTGAATACAGTAAAATATTTCAGTGATGATATTAGAATGGAATTCGGTTTGGATAAATGTGCTAAAGCCACAATTTTACGAATACAACAAATCTCCTCTATTAGTTTAGACCCTGGGGTAACAATCAAAGATTTAGGGTAAGAAGAAGCTTATAAGTACATCGGTGTAAATGTGAGTAAATGAATTCACCATAAAAATGAAAGAAATATTGCGAAAAGTGTACTATAGAAGAGCGCAACTGATATTAAGAACTGAATTGAATTCCCATTACAGAATTATAGCTGTTAATAGCCTTGCCATCCCAGAGGTGAAATATAGTTTCAATATCTTAAACTGGACTCAACATGGTATCAGACGAATGGATTGTAAGACACGAAAGTTTCTTTCTAAGCATAACATGCATCATTCAAAGGTTGATGCAGACCGTCTATACATACCCCCGTAAATAAAGTCTTATTCAGTTAGAATTGTCATACAAGACCACAACTATTGGTTTACTAACATACATAGAAACAACGAAGGATTGGATGATATAGTTAGTCAAAAAACATGAGAACAGAAAGAAAAATATTCAGTCATGAAAGGTTACATTTACTAGATTTTGTAGAAAACCAAAACAGAACTCCAAAACCAACAGTTGCAGCAAAAATTATGAAAAAAAAAAAAAAGACCAAGGATAAAGCTCTTGAACAGATTAAAAGAACGCAGGCAAGACAAACCTCTGCATAGTCAATATCCAGAATGTGCTAATGAAAACAATGTTGGTAAAGTTAACATTCATCGATAGTTACAAGCATCTGTATTAAAAGCTGAAAAGGAAGGCTTTATTCATGCAGCACAAGATCGAATTTTTTATCTAGAAATTGTCAGGCAAATATCATACATAATAGCGTGGATCCAAAATGAAGGTTCTGTGACAAATATCAGGAAACCATAAACCATCTAATCTCAGGATGTTTTGTACTTGCACAAGATGAATATAAAAATCGTCACAATAGAGTGGGGTAATACTTACATTGGACAATGTGCAAACACTTTGAAAAATATGTTAATAAACACTAGCATGAGCATCAGCCAGCGCCGGTTACAGAAATAGAAGCTGTTACTAATTCTATGGGATTATATCATCTTCGCAGGCAGGAAGATTGAAGTAAATATGCCGGACATAATTGTCAAAAACCGAAAAGAAAAAACTTGTCTACTAATTGATATGGCTTGCCAAGTTGGACTGTACCATAGCAACTAAGGAATTTGAATAAATATCGAAGTATAAAGACATGGAAATTGAAATAGAAAAAA